GAGCAATCCCCGCATCCCAGAGGATGTACTTCCTACTTCCTGTCTCTAACCTTGCTGGTCTCAGCCAACAAGGCTTGTCTACGGATGATTGCAAGCAGACCCTCGAAAGACTTCGCCAATCAAATGCCTGCCGCAAAGGGGCTTCATTGACCCAAGAGCGTGAAGATCACGGGAGAAAGAGACGGAAGTACACCAAAAAAGCTCCCAAGATTGCAAGGGATGGAAAGTCAAGTGTCCTCACCATTCACCGGAAAATGCAGCTACTCAAGGTGCTTAGGTTCTTTCAAAGTATGTATATATACTATATATATATAGTTATTGTTCAAACATTGCTTCTAGTGAATATAGCTATTTTTTGAAACTGTATATATATATATATATTAGTTGGGGAGAGGGTGCAGATAGAATATGAGTTTGGTCCTTGACAGGAATATGAAGACATCAAAGCAGATCCTGCGATTAAGTTTGCAGAGAAACACATGCTCAAGAACCTGAAGCGCAAGGAATGTTACCAAGGTTGCTTTGCTAAGTGGCAAAAGCAAAGAGAAACCTACTCATGGGATGCATTTGTGACTGTGGCACCTTCTATGGCAAAGCAGTGCACTGAAATTCCAAATTCACTACGAGACCTTCTGAAGATCACTGCCAAGAAGTGGAACGGCAGCAAGTTCAAGAAGGAAGATGGATTGCATAGCATTCCGGACCCACTGGCGCTTGCAATTGAGAGTATGTTGGTTGATGCAATGTGCACAGGGCAAGAAATTGGCTTGAACTTTGTCATGAAGGTCATCAAGTACATGCCGGCGTTGTGGAATGAGCACATTGGGGAGATTCGGGAGCATGTTCTTAAAGTACTAAGAGAGCAAGAGGCATCTGGTGATCAATTTCAGCCGTGCAATGGTGCTGTGCCTTGCAATGGCAGAAGAGAATCGAGCACATCACAAGCAGATTCTTCTGAGGATATTCTAGATGTGCTGCAGAACATCAATCTGTCAGCAACTTTGGAAGCTCAAAGGCATCTTGATGTTGATTTGTTCCTGTTTCATGTTTTGAGCATCTAGATTTCAATACATGCTGAGCATACATATAGAGAGAGAGAGCAAGTATATATATATATGTTATATGTATAAATATATAGAGGTACTTTTGCAAGTGGGTAGAAGTTGATAAGGTAACAAAGCCAACAATTTTTGCATTTTTAGTTATTAGCCGCATCAGGTACACTGCTAGCAAACTATGCAAGAGGCTGGGCTTGAAGAATTCCGCAGTGGCGAAGCAATCAAAGCACCTTTCATACTCACACCCGGCCATGGAAGCTGTACGGAGATATGTAGACATGGTGACCAGTGAGAACCACATTGAGCCACGTCTAGTAGCAAACTTCGACCAAGTTTGGTCAGTCCACTACGAGCCGCCTCGATCTGTTCTACACAAGGATGAATCTCAGCTTGGTCAGCTCTTTGACCAGGTATGTTCCAAAAGGTCAGTTCAAAAAATCATAGAGCAGATGGAGGCCTACCTGGGTGTTCAACACAGTTCTGCTGGATCTTCGAAACCTAAGAAGGGTGTGTGTCAACATGTGACATTGAATGCAGCTGGAAGCATGAATCCAGTGGACTATTCGCGCAATCCTCGAACCTGTACCACATTGTCATGGCGGGATGGTGATCTTGAACGTGCGTGGATTACTTTGGCACCTGGAGCCATGCCTCAACCTCAGGAAGCAGAGATAATGTTTCTAAAGCAAACGTTATTAATTTTCATACAAAAGAGTGCAGATAGAATATTTTTGAACTCACACGTGCCAGCATTGCTGGCTAACAACACACATATATATATATACACAAAGTAACATGTATATATGCGGTTGATCTAAGTGCAGCTGCCTTGCAATAAGGTCGGAAAAGGTGGTGGACAAGATGAACCGAGAGCTCAGAGACGTTCTTCAGATTTCAACGAAGCACCATGGACCCTCGCATATGTGGACTGCTGAGACATTGTGCGAGTATTTGGACTTTTTGGCCATTGAGCTGAGAAGGAAGAGAAAGAAACATGGACTCACTGCTTCAGCCAAAGCATTGGTGCTAATGGATAAGGCACCACAGCATTCATCGTCCACATTCAAGAAGGTCCGTGAACGGTTTGAGAGAGATCACAATGTGGTGCTAGTACACGGTGAAAGTATTCATCAAGTGGCCATACCAGCAGGCTTGGGTTTGCTGAAAGAAACATTCATACATATTCATGCATATATATATATGCATGAACGGCTTATATATTTATGTTGGAAAAAGTTCATATTCTATCTGCAGTCTCATTATATCTTTCCTTTCTGCTGACGTTCAGGATGGGGCGCATGCGGTGGCCCAAATGATGGATTTCATGGTTTCTTTCATGGGCTACGTCGATCTGCCATGCGGATGCGTGTGGGTATGGGCGACAATCCCCAACTGAGAAAGAGTCTTATCGACATTTCAATTGCAGTGGACGGCAACTTTCGATTCGAGCTACTAGGCAATAAAGAGTTTGAAAGTTGGCATCCCTTTGGTTATTATCTGTATCTATATTTGTTCTGAGTCTATATATATATATATAGCATACGGTTTGAGAGTTTGATGTAGAAAGTCTATCTGCAAGTTAGTATGCTGTAGGCTGACACAAGAGGGATCTCTTCAATGCGATGCCTGGGCTCTGAATCAGCTTGGGAACTATGAGAGCGGGAAAATCATCATGTGGAGCTGGATCTCTCGAGGAATGGTAACAATGGAGCAAATAGCAGCATGGCACTTTAACAACGACGTTGATGCTGCTGAGACTGCAATGTCTAGGACTAGGGCCGGAATGACCAAGCTCTACAGCCTTGATGAAGTACCTGACCATCATTGCCAGGATCCAGAAGCTGCTGGGAACGATGAAGAGGACAATCGTCCTTTGCAAGGGGAGTCAGTGACTTTCTGGGCAATTGCAGATGCTTCATTGAGTGATCCGACTCCCATTCCATTACCGTCATGGTTCAGGCTCCCCATAGACAATGTGATTCTAACATGGAAAAGGGAAAAGGACATTTGGAACAAGCGATTGGAGACTAGGAGGAATCAAGGCAAATTAGAGCTGGCACCAAAAGCAAAGCAAGCTCACGAGGCATGGAAGAGTATGCCAGAAAGAGTTCTGGTGCTTGACAAACAAAAGCAAGCTGTGGTGAAGAATCCAGAGAAAAAAAAGCAAAGCTGCTCTGAAGAGAACATGCCTGGCTTTGATCATACATCCATCTGATGATCCTACCGATTTGTGGGTCAAAGCGGGTACAGGCAAGAAATGGATGCTGAAGCTCTTGAGGGGGGACATCATCCATGATATGCCAATACCATCTGAAGTTGATCATTTTGCAGGCGGGTACAGTGCATTCTTCAGTTGAACTGAATGTTTAAAATATGTATATACATATACACATATTGTCTATATGATTGTGTTTGCAAAAGGTTCTTGTTTCATACATTATATATATATATTCTATCTGCTAGTCTTTGATGTTTTTCTTTTTGGCAGGTGATCTATCTTTGGCTGATGCAGCGGCGATGGAAGACCATGAGCTACACGATGAAGGCGAAGACACCCACAAGGAATTCAATGAATTCGATGATCCGAGTGCGGTTGCGATGATGAATGAAGCGTCCCCGGACTCGGACGAGGACCTCGACCCAGCCATTCACAATGGCTGGATGTTTGTGGACAGTGAGAGTGATGAGGATGAAACATCAGCCACTGTCACGTGTGAGAAAGTTACTCGAACAAGAATGTCCGAAGAGCGACCTGAGTTTCAGGAACTTGCGAAACTTGGTCTAGTTGAAAGGCCAAATGGCTGCACGGTGGGCATACACTTGGAAGCTATGGTTTGGAGGGCATCTGCCTCTGGTGGTACACGCCATGGGAGAACATTTGCAAAATCCTCTGGGCGAAGTCCAAAACAGGCTTTGTTGAGGGTACTTGAGCTGATGCTTCTAGATCATGTTGCTGCTCACGAGAAGGACCGCCTTGCCAAGAAACAGTTGGTCAGGGTACAGGAAGCAATTGCAGCTGAACCAAAGCACAAGCCTTAGGAAGATAGCGCGAAGATCCTTGTGTCTGAAGTCTTGCACCGAGTAACATGCATGTGGGGGAGAAAAAGACGTGTGCTGAGATGAAAGTCTGGGTTTCTGTTGAATTGCCTTTTCAAAACCAATAATTTTGATGCAGATAGAATATATTTGCAGAGAGAGAGAGGGAGGGATCGAGGGAGGGAGGGGAGGGGAGGGAGGGTTGAAGGCCAGCATTGCTGGCCACATATTAGATTACATAATATATACTGATATGTTCTCTGTGTGTTTGAGTCAGCAATGCTGGCTGTGTTCTAACAACGACATGCAATGACACAATTGTTATCATATGATTTCTGTATTGTGAAATCTACAACAAGACTCATGCACAAAACATACACATTATGAACATCAATTATATTCTATCTGCACGGATGTTAGTGATTCAGGAATTAGTTTTTATGATGCTGAAAATATTCTATGTGCATACTAATTATTTTCGCATATTCTATCTGTAGCTACGCTAGTATATATATACTTGCCTTGGGGTGTTTTCAGGATACTGTGGGTAGAACTTCCAAGGAAGTGTTTGGCATGACACCCATCACCCCTATGAGCTATGGCATCCTATGGTTGTTTAAACTTCAATGGAATGTCCCATGTGTCCATGCATCAAGTCAAAATGGTTAACACTTAAGTTTTGCTCATGTTCGGCTACGGATGCTTGAGGTTCACCTCAGGATCTCTCAATCACCTGAGATCAACACTTACAGTCCAATGTTTAAAATGTTTCAACACAACCCCCGATAACATCCGAAGATAGCTTCAAAGAGACATGGACCAGAATGGACCATTCATGCGGATACCATGAGTGATTGGTGATGCCTTTGGGGAGGCTCCGCTGTTCCGTCCAACCGTCCCTCGCAGGCGCGGAGCCATCCGCTGGGACATCAAGGCGTAGCCGAGACATTGCTGGTAGCTGGGTTTGAGGTGGAATGCTTCTCCTGGTCTTGCTCAGGGTGATATGTTTAATTTTCCTGAAGGGTGAATCCCCTTCCGGGGACAATTTTGATCGTATTTGTCCCCAATTAAACAAATCCAAGTTATATGGTTCAGTGAAAAGGTGGTTTTCCTGAGAGGTGAAGTTGGGAGTCCTTTTCTCAAGGCCCAGGGGAGCAGACCACAATTCGGTGGAGGTGCATCGTCGGCGCGAGTTTGGCAAGAAGACCAAGTAAGTAGCGTCTGGTGTGATTTCCCCTACGGAAACGTGGATCACCTGATATTACCAAGAGCTTGGGGAAACCCCACTCAGATGAATAGATCAGGTGACAAGCCGGTGAAGCTCTAGAGCTTCGCTTCCAGGGTTTCACTGGAGGAAACGTGGGAGAACCGACCTGGCTGATCCCTGCATTTTTGAAGTCCAAGAGGTCAGGCATTGTCCATTTCAGACAGTGTTGCGCTAGGTGGTGCGTGCACGTGTTTTTTTGAATCCGTTGAAGACTCAAATTGAGTTGTTGACCTGGGAATTGTTATGCTCAGAAACTCGATCACTACCCAAAGTGGGATAAACTTTGAGTTCTGGGGGTTTCACGCACAGATCTGGCCAAAGAAAAAGGTATGGCAGGTACAGTACAGTTTTGGTCATATTGCAACATGTGCTGATAGATTGCTTGAACTCCCAGCCTCGGGGTGTTCTTTTCATGGTGCGACACCCGACTCTTTGGTATAGGCGGAAACTTTCGGAGCTGACATGATGAATCACCCAGACACCACCTGTTGAACAGATGCGCCATCTGCAATCAAGTAGCGTCCGATCGCGCCTAGTAGTACGGCCAGGAGCCCCGAACGTAGCGCTCCTTGCTCCCACCCACCAGTTCAAAGGGGTGGCATCGATTCCGCCGCGTCCGCGCATGCTGTCGGACCTGGTGCGAGGGCTGCGTCTCGGGGCCGTCGCAGGACTGCTGTCACTTCTCCGCCAAGTGCTGTGGTCAGGGAGCACACGGCTCAGTTTTTAGCACCTTGGCCATGGGAGGTGGAGGCGGATGTATCGAGGGGGTTTTTATTGATTGTGTTGAAGTACTCAACAAAGTATGAAAGAAGAGGTCGGGAGATGGGGCTGCTTGTTGGCCAATAGCAAGTGTGTTTGTTGTGTGTGTGTGTGTTTTTGTTATAAAATTGTTCAGAAAGTCGCAAGTCCAAACTATTGCTTTGCTGATGCGTGCATTGCTGGGACAGAAGACAAGGTCGGCCACTCAGCAAGCTAGGTGGTGTGAGTATTGTGAGTCCAGGCCTACTGAATGTGTTCGTCCGTCTCTTGGATTTTCATGGTTCTGTTCATCATGACCGACCGGGGAAAACGCGACCGACCTCGGCGAGGTCCGCGGGACTCCTTCCAAAGCTAAGCTTTCGCACTGATGTTTCTTCAATAAATAACCTGGTCTTTCCACTTGAAACATCTTAAAACAAGCTGTTTGAAGATGTGAAGGATAGCGCTTAGGAGGGAGTGAAAGTGAAGGATAGCGCCCAAGAGAAAGTTTGTGAAGGATAGAGATTTCAGTTTCAGTGAGTGTGCAGTGGCACCCCCAGAAGCTTGACATAGGTTGGAGTCCACTGCTAAACCACCAAACTTGGGCCCAGACATGCCATTTACGCGTCAATCCATTATAATGTAGACTCTTGATTGATAATGCCCCCACATGAAGAGGACTATTAATCCAAATGAGATGGTTTAGTAATCAAGAGTCTACAATATTTGTATATATCGCTCTTGATGAATAAACCACCCCATGCGGTTTCACCATCCATGTTTTTTGGGGGTTATTCTTCCAAAGTCTACAGTAGAGACCCCTTCCATCCAATTGGGCCAATGATATATACCAGGGCCCAGTGGATGATGATGATAAGTATAAAGGCCTTTTTCAAGAATAGTGATGTATTGTGATATAATAACCAATATACATAATGTATATGGGACACCCTCAAGTGCAGAATGTTCAGATTTCCAAGTGTCCTTGATCATGTTGATCCAGTTTCAAACGAAAAAGATATTACACGGCGGAGGGCTATGACGCAGGTCGCCTTGAAAGACTCCCAAACGGGTAGCAGGTCGACCGTCGGGCTTCCGCAGCAAGAGTGCCATTGGCCATGGATCCTTAAAAAAACTTGAAAAAGGAACTGTTCTTACAAAGGTGCCGGGAAACCTCGGGACCAAGGGTTTTTCGAAAATGACCAAGAGCAGTTCAACAGCACTCCTGCTCCCAAAGACCGCATCAAACATCATCTATAACCAACTCACACGCAAGACGGGAGGGGTCTACTACATTCTACTACCCCATGTTACCCCTCGTGATTTATGCAAAGCATCGTCTCATCAGGCGGCGTGTCTTTGCTCCCGCTCTATGATTCCCGCCGGCGGCTCCTTCCTGAGAAGCGAGATGCCCGGACGCTCAGGGGGTCAAAAACGCACGGCCGCGTGCGGAGGAGGGCTGAGACGGCGGAGAAGTCACCTCGTCCTAGGTCACTTGGCCGAAGGAGTGCTATTAGCTGGTGGTCAGAAGCGAGCTGGGCGCCAGAGGTTTGGACCCTGTTCCCCCAACTCTACAAAAGCTGCCGTTGGGAGCCCCAAGTCGAACCCCAAAACCGCTCGGTTGTAGAGGGAAATGGTCTTCCACCAGTCAATTCTCAAGTTTTTTCTTGATCAGGTGCGGGCTTGGACCAGGCTTTTTTCAAGAGATGATGCTTGAGTGGATATGTTGGACGCAAATTCCCAGAAAGACGTGATATTCAGATTCAGGAATGCCCTCCTCAGATCCTGGGTCAATGCCCAAGGACCATTGTTTTAATGGTCTTTACCGAGCAACCCTTTTCTTTTCTAAGGATTTTGGGCTGCAGGTCGTTCCCATTTTAACATGGTCTTTGAAGGCTAGGGGCTCCTGTATCAACCACCACAGCCCAGCCCAGCCCAGCCGGAGCCTTCGACCGAACTCACTGGAGCCTGCGTCGCCGCGAGAATCGACAGGTCATCAACATGCAAAAAGTTCACAACTTCGGGCGAGTTGCTGTGAAGATCTGGAACAAACCACCCATGAGCATGATTCGATCCTTGGACTGAAGACGACTTGAGGGATCTTGAGGGTGTCTACGACCTCTTAAGGACGCCCTCTTCTTGGTGCGGTGTCCACTGCGTCACGGTGACTGGCGTGTTGGAGCGGGAAGAGGTCACGGTGACCGACTGGGTGAGGTCGAAGTCTCACCAGGTCGAGGCTAACCTGCGAGGTTAAACAGTTCGATTGTGTTTGGAGGTCTCCACACAGTTAAGCACTGTTTGATACTGTGCGTTTACCTCTTTCGTCTTTCATCTCTAGAACGGTGTTCTGAGCTGTTCCTTCTCGACATGGCCGCCGTAATGGATTGCGGCTTGGTTTCGATGACAGGGCTACTTCAAGATGCTAACTGCAGGGATAGTGATGAAGCGATTGTTTTCTACATGCTGCATGTTGTCCAATTGATTGGTCACTAATGTCAATAAATGTTCGATGACTTGGGCTGTTTCAAGGCCAGACTAGCAGCTACATGCGCTGCAACCAAGGACAGGAGGTCTATGCGCTGCAAGCAGCAGCGGGCCACCCAAACATTTGCTCCCTACTAGGCGCCGATCGGGAGATTGCTGCGAAGAAAGGAGTGGACACCCTGCCATTATGACATGTTGTGACCATGCCTACCCAGGACAAGTATGCAACCGATGTTGACTTGCAAAGCGCAAAAAGGCTTGGTGCTCTCCTACTACCATTAGAACTGGGGGAATAGGCAAACCATGTTTAATCAATTTAATCCTATAGCCTATAGCCTATATCCAATGGATCAATGAAAGGGTCATCACCCATATCACCTACGATCATGGCTCCCTTGAGTAGGGAAGGAGACAAACCCTTGCATAGCAAGGCCACGGAGGGCCGAGGGCACTCTTCGGGCTCACTCTGGGCTGCCACAACACCAGACACACTCGGGAAATGCGCATGGAATTGAATGCCTCATGCCACACGTTCACCTAATCCCACCTAGGTATGAATGCCTAATGATACCTGGGGTAAGGTATTTGTAAAGCGCTCTGACCACGAGAGCCTCCACAGACCTCCAAACTCCCAACGGGGCTCCATAAAGATCATCAAGTCCGAAAGCGGCGAAGACCCCAAAACATGCCGTGAAAGGACGGCTGCAAAGGCCAGACAGTTCTAGTTAAGAACGGTACCAAGTAGGAAATGAAAGTCAGAACTCTGCAGGTACGCAGTTGGACGTCTCCAACTGTATCACAGGTGACTGATGAGCGTGTTTGTTAGCCCCGGTGCCCCCTGCTAAAGATCAAACGGAATCAAGTAAGAAGAAAAGACCAAAAGGTCACACACACACACACACACACACACACACACACACACGCACCAGTTTGGGGCACATATGACGACAGGCCACCCCCCCATCAACAGCTTCGCGCCACTCCGCGCTACCCTCCGCCATGCCCGGGGGCACGCCTTCGCCAGGTTTGTATTGCGAAGGCCCACGGCGGAAGACCGCAGTGGCTCGGCGGAGAATGCCGCGGCCGCAGCTGCGGTAGTGTTCCGTGCCCGATCGAAGTCCCCGAACTCTCGAGGACGCTACTAGGGGCTCCTGGCCGTACTACTAGGAGCAAGTAGCTACTAGGAACAAGAAGCTACCAGGGGCTCCTGGCAAGGGCCAGGGCCGCAGGGCCCGCAGGGCCTTCTCGGGCCCTGGACTCGGCCGCGGGCCCGAGCTCGCCCTTGTGGTGTTCCGCCGTTCGGGCGTTGCGAGGTGATTTGGCTACTGGCCTTGGAGCACTGTACCGGTGGAGATCTCTTTGACTTGATCAGAGCCGCGCAGCCGCAGACCAATGCACCAGTTTTAATCATGGCTTGGTTGAGGCGTTTTCCTCATTTGGGTGAATTGCCTTCTGATGTACTTGGGCTAAGCAAATCCAAGTAACTGTCCCTCTGATCAATCGAGCTGGTTTGGTGTTTGGGTCCAACCCTCGCCTCAACCCTTTAAGATGCTTGGGTCTGTCAGGGACTAGTGAGACTGTCCAGCTAGTGATGGCAAAGATTCCATAAGTTTGCCAGAGTTGGGAGCTTTCGAGTTGAATTCTGGATAAGGATATTGTCCAGTCAATGGCCTCTTGATCTACAAAATCCTTGTGCGTGTGCTTTTGTTTGGGACCCAGCAGAGCCTCAAGCAGGCTCGGGTGGAACATGGTGGAACATGAGCATCTCAAAACGAGCTTCCACATCCTTCCACATCCAATCCCTGGATCTGGGGCGACGTGCTGCAGCTGAGGACAACTACATCTCGCAACTTCAAGTGATGGATATCCTTTTTGGCTTGCCACTCGAAGGTCGAAGAAAGATGTGGAAACACATGTGTTCCAAGCAAAAAATGGCTATATATTATAGCGGTACGTGGTCATGAAATGCTCCATCAGTCCGAGTCCAGAAGACCCAACACAGGGGTCATGGTCGCGACCGAGCCAGTAGACTCTTGGTAATAAATAGTAACTTAAATCCTATATGCATTGAACAACCTTCTCATATTGGGCTGTGTGATATAAATCAAGAGTGAGTATCTTCAACTCAAACAGTTCACACCGGCAGCGCGACGCAGAGTCCTTTCGGCCACGAGTCGCAGCGCACCACGTGCGACCAATGCCATGGAGCCCAGGTTTTCAGCCCTGGCGCATGTCCATTCCCTCCAGTTAGTTCATCGCGATATCAAGGCTGTACCTTGGATTTGCCGATCAGTGGGGGTGGTTGACCTGGGGTCATTGTAGGCATATGTGCCATACATGGAGTGTTTTGGGTACTAGAAAACATGGCCCCAAGTTTTGGGCAGCGTTTTTAGATATAGGCTTGATCTAAAGGGTCAAGTCATGCTTTGTTGAGAACCCTTGGCACCAGGCCGCCCAGTCAGAAGGTGAGCAGGCGTGTGTGATGAGGGAACTGTCCAAAAAAAGGTCCACAGGGTTGGAGAACGCCAAATAACACATTCGGAGAAAGAGCCGCAGTGGCGCAATCCTTCAACCAATGGGCAGCACACAGCGTATTTTTGGCGTGCCAGTAAGCATACTCCAGGGCCAAAAGGGAACGCTAAGCTAGGCTGCCGCCGCTCGGCTTAGTGGGTCTGTCGGCAGGGACGTGTCCCGGCCTTTTTCAGCCGCACCACGCCCAGGAGAATGTGGTGCTGAAGAAGCACCACGCCGTCCTGATTGAAGCTTGGCTTCGCGGAAAGCACATCTCGGAAGGCACATGGACGACCATCGTCCCAAGTCGTGGAATACATGGCTGCCCGACGATGCACGCTCCCTGTGAGTCACGGCTCATCTTTTGCATGAGGTCATTTGCATTTTCCGCAAGTCACAGCGTCACAGCTTCGGACTCCTATGCAGAACGTGGATCACCTGCAAACCCTTGGGTGAAAACGGTTTCCCCACTGACCCTCCAGCAGGTGGAAAAGAGGTTACCCTGCTGACCTCGGAAACGGACGGGTCAGGAACAGCTGCCTGATCCGTTGTAAGAGTTGAAAGCGACTTAATCCACAGGTCGAAAGTAAGAGATGCTCCAAAGACATTCACTTCTTGTTTGGTTGTTTGGTTTGCTTGTTTGGCCTTGTGAAGATCAGATACATCCATTTCCGAAAGGAAACGGTTGTTTGAGGATCTTTGGATGAAGGGCACGGCGTTTGCACAAACCGCATTCATGGGGTATGGGATGGTATGGGGGGCCACTTGCATGTTCCAAGATTCTGCTTAGCAGCTAGCAGCTAGCTTATGAAGACTCAACAAGTTTACTATCCCATCATTCAGCGCACGTCTACCAAAAAATGAAAAGAAACAAGGAGCCTCATGGATTCGCATGCCCGAACTATCCATGCAAAGAAAATATAGTGGTTTCAGAGTCTAGATGGGACACACCCCAAGAATCCCCAAGATGTGTGTTTTTAATATGTGTTTAGTCCATTTAATCAACCTTTTGGGGATTGTGCCATTGTTTCCCAAACCACTGAAAAGAACATATGACCATTTACATCCATTTACCATCAAAAAACATTCAAAAAACACCACAAGTAAGCGTTCTTTGCCTGGATCCTTTGGGTTGTGTTCCTGTTTGCTTCGCCAAGCCCTGGCCCTCCGTGCCCGGTTCACCCCGAGCGGACCTGAGGACTTCGGCATCTCAGCCAATGTGAACGATGAGCAGGAGCGAGACCGAAGACCCGTTCCATACCCCCCCGAGAGTCCAAGAGCTTGACCCAGTTCAGGCTTGGGTCTGTCCCATGATATATTTGTAACAGTTGATAAACAACTAAAAACCACTATTTGAGAGGAAGGCCTGCAACTGGTTATCGTCCTCATCCACTGTTACAGGGAATAGGAGATACCCAACATAAAGCTGGTCCCTAGGGCCCCAGTCGCACCTCAGAAGGTCTGACTGGATTTGGAGACGGCACCCAGTCCCACCGAACCGAAACTGCGACTGGAGCCCTACGGGGGGTAGTGGATTCTGATCTGCCAGGGGGTCACCGTTCGTCGCCTTCGTCCTTTCGGCCGTCGAGAAAGAACACCTGCCACCAACAAGATGCCAGGGAAACCGATCGTGAGAGGTCCACTGAGTACGTCAAATTCCACAAACATCGATGTATCCCAGTGGACCCCAGGCAAACCACTCTTTTTCAGAAACCAGGGATTCTAGGTCAACGGTTTTAGTCGAACTGGAACCACTGGTTGCCAGCTATAGTGGTAACATGTGGCAACTGGGTGCCCTGGGTATATATCTAACTCTACCAATTCAATGCCAAGTTGTTCATCGACTATAAGGCGACCATTCTGAAGACTTCCTTTAAGCAGTGCAAAGGGTGTAGGTGCCTTGCCTGATGACAGATGACAAAGCATCCACGGATGCTGGCTTCAGGTTCCATTTGCAAAGCTCTCAGGGATACCAACTACAACTACACCGACTACACCATTTTTGTTTGCACGCATGGGTTTTGATCCACAACAGATCACAACAGCTCCATAAGAACCATTGTTAGATTGATCCCAAAAGCATATACCAGCACCCTCCAAGGGGTAAGCCCACACACGAAACAGAGAGATCTCCAGGTCCAGGACACTCCGACAAAAAGGTCCAGGTATCAACACCCGTCCGTCACCCATGCACCGGCCCATGCTCCGTCTCGGGCCCCGAAACTCGCGAACTCGATGCGTTCGAATCCACCATCTCGCGGCTCAAACATGGAGTTCACCCAGATGGCAGCTCAACCTGAGCTCAACCGGGCAAGAACCGGTGACATAGAGTTTTCATGCCACACTTGGAATTGCCTTCAGTCTCGCCACGCCTGGATCTCCAGGAGATGATGCGGCCCGTGGGCTCTCCAGGCTACGCGGCGCCCGAAGTCATCGCCCTGGTGCCGGAACGCTACAACGAGAAGGCCGTTTTCGTTCGAGCTTCGAATCAGCGCGATAGACGACGACCCGGGACCGACTGGGACAGCGCGGAACACCGCTGATCTTCACCGAGCGGTGGCGGTGGCGGAGAAGGGAGGCTGCCCGGAATCCACCGGACGAAGGCGAAAGGAAGAGATCAAGGAAGCCCCCGCTTCGATCCGTTGGGCCTTCGTTTGCAGGACCGGCTGGACCGGCTCGTCATCGGGGTCTGCGGTTTTCGTAGGGGGGGAGGGAGCGACCTGTGATCTATCTGCTAAGAAAGAAGCCATGTTCGGATGTTCGGATGTGTCTTTTGTTGAGTGTCGCGCCTCTCTGAGCATTGGGATCGACGGGTATGTTCAGCGCGCCCCAATCCCAGACACGACCAATGGGACTGCCACCCCATGGACCCCCTGGCACATCCTGGCACCACCCCTGGCCGTTTCTCAGCAGTCCGTCGTGGCAGTCCCAGACAGGTCGTGTCTGGGCAGTAGGAAACCAATTCTTCACGGAAGAGAGGAGAAAGGTGAAGTCCTCGGCCACACTAACCCCCGTTTGGGACTGCCAGTGGGACTGCCGATCAGGCCAGGGGTGCCTTTGGGGGGTCAATGGGGCGGCATATATTCCAGTCCCATTGGTCGTGTCTGGGCAATGAGCAGCCATTGGCTTCGGGTTTTCGAATGCCTCCCCAAGTGCCAACAACTTTGGGGTGCATGGTCAACGTGTTCTTTAATGGTGCAAAATACCTGGGCCTTCCAACTGTGCAATATTGCAACATGATTGATTTTTAGAAACCAGCCAAAAGTGTTTGTTTCTTGTTCGCTCGGCTCAGGTAGATGTTTTCGCCACGGGTGTCCTTTGCTATTTCATGCTTTTTCGGACCTTGCCCTTTTGGGTGCCTGGGCAGCAGAGCCGCCGTTTCACAGGAAAAATGGCCCTTGTGGAGGGGATAAGAGGGGATGTTGGAACAGGTTCGGAACATGGTAAGTAGATATCTAAATCTAAGTAGAACCTCCAATGAGGTACCGTTATTTGTCAGATGGGCTGCAAAAGCATCATCATCATTCACTTGAGAAATGGGGTCCTCAAGAAGGACCCAGGTCCAAGTATGAGTTGGGCCAGGCTTGTCGTTCAGTTTTGTGGGGAAGTGGTGACTGTTGTTACCCACGACGGGCCCTGTCACATTGCAGTTCTGCGCAGTTGGAATTTCAACGGCCTCGCTTTCGTTCTTTGCCCTGACTGTAGGAGACTGTAGGCCACTGTAGGCCTCCATATGACATCAACGTGTCTCAAGAAGTAGAATCCAAACTCACAAGATCTCACAAGTCACCCTCTCCAGCATGAACGGATCAGAGGGCCTTCGGTTTTTTGAAAAGTCAGTCTTATTCGGACAAATTATATAACAGGTGAATGCATGCTCAAACGAGCTTTTAAACGGTTCGTTTCGTGTCACCTTCCGACGTGTACCCCAGCCAAGCTCGGCACCTGCGATCGTTCGCCCGCCTTCTCGTGCTGAGGCTGACACTCAAGAGGACATCCTGAATAAGACTCGTGCCTGCGAGGTCTGGGCTTCATCATCAGGTGGTGTCAGAAAATGGTCTTCCAAGTTCCTTTCAGGGCCATGGCATCCACAATCTTCCATGTGAGTTCCACGGAGTGGAGCGATTCTTGCCTCATCTTGCCTCCAACCCATAGGTAGTAGGTCGATCTTGTGAGTTCAGTTCTGGACTTTTGAGGATGAGTGATGAGGGGCTAGTGATGAGGGCACAACCTGTTGATTCCTGGACCCTTCTATAGGTACTGATCCATCACCTAGCTACTCACTTGATGAGACATGCGTAGGCAAACGATGAAGTATGATGACATCGAAGCAGCGCAGCCATGAAATGCTATGACCGTCGTCCTCACTTTGTCTTTGTCCACGAGCATGACATCATGAGTTCACTCGCCGCTCCGGCACTTCTCCCGCCACGCCCCGCTTCCCGCCCCCCTCCGGCACTGCTCCGCCATGCCCACCGGGAAACCCACCCGAGCCACGCGACGCGTGGGCTCGGGGAGCGAACGCCAGGTGCACTACCCCGACGAGGAGTCCCGACCGGTGAGGCCCGAGTTGATTGGGCTCATGGATCACTTGCCCCTTCAGCTGCAGTTGCGGTGGGGTGTGGAGCGCCTGGACCTGCATGGCCAGGAGGGTTTGGCAGAACCCGGGAGGCTTCCCCAGGTAATTCGGGTCCTATTTGAGGTCACCAGCCGGCGTTGGATGGCGTTAGGTTTTGGGCTGAGGGAATAACGGGGTGTGGAATGGTGTGACATGTGTGGTTTCTTTTCCAAAGTGATCCGAATCTCAGTGGAGGTCGTAGTTTCCAGCGCTTGGAAGTTCCACAGTCGGATCAAAACCGTGGGACAGGTCCAGGGTGACTCACGTTGCCGGGAAGGGAAGATGGACCCCAACTCATCCGGTGAACATTCGCCCCATGAAATGCCACTTTGTCCCTGGAACTAACATGAACTAACATGGAAGTGTAAAGCCTCTTATTTGTAGGGGAACATGGTCTTCCACGGGGCCATGCTATCCACTTCCATGTGAGTTACAGGAGGTTCCAGGAGGAGTGTTCAATAGTGTAGATCCTCCTGATTCTTTGCGCAGGCATGCGCAGGGTATACCCACCCACGAACTACGGTCTATAGAACGCTCTAACGAGCGTCGTGCTGAGGTTGTGTTGTTATTCATCTATATTTGACTCCTCGGGGTCCGTCCACTGATACTCAGCTATCGCTGACTGGATCACTCCCAGGATCCAGAAGAAGCCGGAGGACGGGACGTGTCAGATCGGGAAGAGCTACCAGTTCAATGTGGAGAGTGTTTGTTCTGTTTTACTTGCGAATGACCACTGGGCGATTGATTGTTGTTGACTTAATCCACCACCGTGTGGGGATGGTATAGATCACCCACCGAAGCCTAATCATTCACTTTTCCTCCATTGGAGAAGTGCCCAATTTGAGAAAGTTGAGTTCAAATTTCCACAGAAGGAGAACGAGCTTCTTTCCCGAAAAAGATAAAACGACCCGCCAGTGGCCCACCAGCGAACACATGTCATGCAGTCAGATCTCAGAAGCACTCAGACCCTCACAGAATGGTGAAGGCTATGGGAAATGGCTCCAGCCCACCCCGCCCAATGGGTCGCCCCACCTGTCGTCGTTTCGCTGCGACCGGAGGACCCGAGGGGCATGGGGTTCAAAAAGAAATTATGATCAGGATCAAAAGAAAGTTATTGAGGTGTCCGGGGTATGGGAAAAACTCATGGACCTAGGTATTCTGGTGGTTCTTGACCCTTGACCCATGACCATCTACCGTCATAGACCAGCATTCTCCAACAGGTCACCAATTGAGACCTGCTGGGGCCCAAGAACCCTCTAAAGGAGACCTGTTGGAGGATGCCGGTATACGGTATAGGGTGAATTTGTTTGCACCTCCTGCCCCCAAAGAAGTGACCTCGCGGACAAACACCCATGGCCGGGCATCGTGGAGTCTCGATTCAAACCCCCCATTTGGATTGAACAGCTTCTTCATCTCAGGGAATTGATGCATCAAGAGCTGAAGGTGCAATGCTGTAGGCATTTTGTTTTATTGGTTTTTGGTTTTACAGATGTACTTGGTTCATCCCATCTGCGTTTGCTTTCTCGGCATCAAAAGGCGATCTTGGGGTGCCAGGACCGGCCTTCTAGCTTGGAAGCTTTCTTGAAGCTACGAGATTCAGCACCCGATGAGGTCCTGCAGGACAAGGCGCCTTTCGAACTCGGCACCAGTCCCGACCGGCCTCGGAGCCCGAGCCGCACAGGTGGGCCCCGCAATGAGCGCCATGGGGCATCTTGGGGGCTCCTTCCGTACCTCCTGAAGCGATAGGGACGGACTGACAGGCTGCCTCCTCCAAAAGCTATACCCCAAGACTTTTGGGGGATCCGAACCATCTCGGCATGTGACTTGACCTGGGGTGGCTGATCCGAAATCCAATGGAGCTTCTAGCTACTAGTAACAGGTGCATCGCTACTGGTAACAAGTGCATCAGTACCAGTTGCAAATAGCTACTAGTAGCTTCTAGCTACTAGTAATTGCCCTTGTTACTAGTAGCGATGCCCTTGTGACTAGTAGCGATGCCCTTGTGACCAGTAGCGATGACATGATATGTCGCTGGGCTTTTCCCGACGCACCGGATCTCCCAGTCCTGCTGAGTCCGCAGTCCGAGCTGGTCGCTCCAAGTCGCTCGTTGTCGCTGGTCGCTCTCAGACCGTACTGGGTTTGTCGGTCTGTCGTTTTCGGTGGGATTTTGGGGGGGCACAAACCACCTGTTTGTCTCTTCATGAGGTGATGGATTGAGTTTGATCCTACTGGCCTGTTGGGTGTTGCTATGTGACATGTGTGAATTTTCCTTGGACACCTTTCTTGAAGCATGTCCTCCAAGAATGTCCGGGTGTTGCTTCGTGACGTCCCCCATTGGCTTCTTTGAACACTCTTCAGAAGGCAGCGAGGTGAATCGTCGAATCCGGGCTCCGGCTCATGAGCTCCGTTCCGTTGGACGCGGCGCTCGTGCGTCCTTATATAACTAAACTATAAAATAACAATATAGTAACAATAGTAATATGTTTATATATATATATATATGTAGCCTACTATTTGGAAAGAGAGGGCAGATGGCAGATTTGATTCTGAGTTGATGTTTTAAGGTGTATCATGCAATGAGTTGTAAAAACAATATTCATATATGCATATATAACATATATACATGTAAACTATTGTTTTACAACTTATTACATGATATACCTTAAAACATCAACTCAGAATCAGCCCCACAAACATACTGGCGTGTGCGCCCACCCACCTTTGGACCGTCCGTCCTCTCGTCAGGGTGGCCGGGCTTATCGCGCGGCCCTCGCTGGGTTGGTCAAACTTGGCCACTCGGATCGTCGCGCCGAAGCGGGTTGATGAAGCGGAAGCGGGTTCGCGGATGGACGAGATGCCGCTCTTTTTGCCGGAGTTTGGACCGGGATGAAAAAGGGTTGGGGTGTATTGCCCTAATTACCCAGG